AAGTTTAAACGCTTTGTCATCTTGGTTTTTTCAGCGCGGTTCGGCAATACTACGAAGCAATCGTGAGTACGGACATAATGACAACTTCAAGCGGTAATGTCACATGGCTATTCTCGGCAATTTTTAAGTCGTCATGTCAAATCAAAGTGCGCTATTATCCGTTCGATGATCAGGTGCGTAGGAATATTTCACATTTATTTTGCTGCTTCCATACCGTGACTTGTCTTCGGATGCTCTTTATTTTTCCCGCTTAGCAGAGTAGTTTTTATGCGTTTCTGCTGTCTAGAGCTATGACTGTGTTACAGTGAGCAAAAATGCATATTGTCGAGATGTCCTCTGCGTGTGTTCGAAAGCGAGTGAACTTTGTCACCCACTTTTATCTCAGCAACCGGAAAAGCTGGGAAGCTGAAATTTTGGGTATATGTTCCTAGCCGTGTGCCACCCTCTTGTTTCAAAATTTTCGCTCGTATGCGCCTAGACTTTGTGTGCGGACTGCGGAAAAAATATGAAATTTCTTTGGCGGGAACGATTTTGGGAACCAGGCAAGATAGAAAGTTAAAACTTTGCAGGAATATTCTCTGCGCATATGCGAGCTAAAGATTCCAAATTCAGCCATTGCGCACGCTTATACAGCGGATACGGTCAAATTAAAGTTTACACCTGGAACTGTGCTGACTCGAAAATTAGCCGGAAAACAGTGGTTGAAATTTTATGTATACATCGTCCATATGGGAAATCGTGTACCAAAAATGAGTTCCGATTTGCACTTGCACCACGATTTAGAGCACTTCAAAGAGATTTGTGGCGAAGTGGCTATTTCGCTTACCGATAATGTGCGAAGCTGGAACTTCGCTGTGATATTCTACTTTCAAGTGCGCTCTTAACTCTGCCTGAAAGTGAAATTTCCTGCAGGTGGGTATGAAAAGTACTCAGCTTTACCACAGACTCAGAAACGAGTGCATTTTGCAGAAAACGACCACCCACATTCTCTCCCATCATCCAGTTCATTTACGTGTTTGGATTTTTTGACGAACGAGCGCTCTGGCAACATTTGAAGAACAGAAATTTTTGCATTTTCAAAAATCTGCGTTTTACACTTTTTCAGAAAGCGAGTATTTACCAGAAAAACGACCAGGCTTCATGCAGAAAACTGATAATCGTGCCTGGGAGTCCATGCAGCCCTATAACAAAACATTTTCATCCCAACCGACGCCTTTGCTCCTGCATGCCGAAAGAGGCCAAAGCATGGCCAAAAATATGAGCCCAATTGTTAGGCTATAAAGCAAGGATCATTCATGCTACTAGCAATCTGCGAGTTTAGTGCAAGAACTGAAGAACTTAGTAGCGAATCTCAGCAACTTTGCATTTCATGCAATCATATAAATTTGTGCCGTATCCGCTGCGCTGACGATGTCTAGTTTTGATGCTAGAATAAGATTAGTCTAAGAATTTGCAGCGCTTAGGACATCCACATTCCTTACTCTAGCCTCTTGTGTACATGTGGGAGCATAAATATAGATTTCATAAATAATTCTTATCTCTTTTCGTTCATATATTATATTTCTGCATACAAGCCTTTTTTGCTTTATTCACTTCTTTTATCTACTGACAGCAACATACAGTTTCTGAATCTGCCTTTTTTTAAAGTAACTGTTGGATACAAAAGGATTCCAGAAGTATTTCCTTTTGTGTGTTTAGGATATAAAATCCAAAAAAGAGAACCGAGAAATGCTCAAATTCAAGGAACCTCACCAGTGAAAATAAACTCGACAAGCCGGTCGTGAAGTAAATCAGAAAGCAGTATGCTAAGACTCTAAATTAGACATCGGTATCTGGAAAAAGATGGTGAGAATAAGAGGAAGAGGTGACCGATTAAAATGCCTTTTAGTGAGAAGACATCTCTATCAAAAGCTTATCTTATCCTTTCGCTGCAACAAATCGCTTTTCTTTGGGAAACATCATCTTTGGCCAAGCTCATCACGACGTTTTGGAAGATGAGAAAGCATAAAATGAAAAACAAAACTGCTTGAAAATAATTGGCCAACCCACGGGCTGCCCGTGCGAAGATGCTTTTTTTGCACAGTTCCCCGCAGCTTTTGTCGCTAACGGCACCCGCTTTTCGGCAAATGCTTCTAGCTAAACAAATTAAGACTGACCGCCGGAACTGTCAGAAAACAACCCCATAAAATTTCAACTTTCTAGCTTCCCTGGCTCCTGAGTTAGCAGCTTACTGGAAAAAAGTGTTTACCATGCGTACTTTCACGAGCCCGTGCGTGTTTACCATGCATACTCGAGAGTTGGGTTTGAGCTAAATAGAACTTTGGTGGGCGGGGAATATCCTCTTAAAATTACAGTCTTTAGGTTTTCAGGTACTCGAGTTATCAACTTACCCGAAAAAATTTTAGCGGGCCCGTACGCGGGTACCACGTTTACCCGGGGCTGGGTTTAAGCTCATTAGTACCTATTTGGACGGGAAACATCCCCCTAAGATTTCAGCTTTCTATCTTTCTAGATACCCGATTATAAACTTACCCGTAGAAAAGTTTGGCGGGCTCTTACGTGAGTACCACGCAGGTAATGGCCCTCATTTTGGGGATTGGAGCTCGTACGTGCATGGTCAAGTTCCCAAAATTTCAGCCCTGTAGCTTTTGTACGTCTTGAGATGAAAAACCATGACAGACGCACGCACGGACACACAGACACGCACATAGGCAACCCCTCGCCAATATGCGTTTTCTGCATTGCATAGCTGCAAAAAACGCATAAAAACCGAATCCATGTTTACCACTTGACCTTTATCTGCATATGTCCAAGTAGTGACAAATTTCTTACAGTTGGAATTGACGGAGACACCAGAACAATG